CGAACCCATGGCCTTGGTGTTATCAGCACCACACTCTCCCGAGTGAGCCACAAGCCGGCCCTGATAAGCAAATTTAAAGCAACCGTGGAATACTTGAACACAGATGTTTTAGATAGAAAGTAAAGGCTCTCCCCTTAAGGTAAAACACGTGTCATAGAAAGTCTGCAGAATCCATCATTTCTTTGGGGGAAATTTCAGGATTGTGAGACCAAATATTCTTCACTCCTTTCTCATTTAATATTATGAATTCACCTAAGGCTCAAACTACTGCTTATACTGTTTCCTAAACATCATCTTTAGCTCAAACTCCCCTCCTGAGTCTCAGGAAAATTTTTCCTACAAAACGTCTCCTCCTGAGTTGTCCAAAATTGGTGTCATTTCTCTGGATCTAGTACTCCTTTAGCTCAAACTCCCCTCCTGAGTCTCAGGAAAATTTTTCCTACAAAACGTCTCCTCCTGAGCTGTCCAAAATTGGTGTCATTTCTCTGGATCTAGTACTCCTTTATTCTTCTGAAGCTCCTTCCCTAGTTTGTAGTCTTCTTGGACTATGACAGCTTCCTAACTGGTTGTCTTGCCACTGTCTGTCTTTCCCACTTCTCATCTTGTTCCCCTCCATCCTCCTAATCTTAGCCAGCATAATATGTCTAAACACAAACAGAATCAAATCATCCACAAAGCCCTCCACAGTCTGTCTCTGCCTTTATAGGAGCTGCTCCCTCTACGTACAATGTCCTTCCCCTACTATCCAGAACACTGCTTAGTCCTCGACACTCAGCTCAGAAACTGCTGTCATGAACTGTGACAGGTCTGAGATTTTACCTAGCTTTCAAGCTAACAAGTTAGCTTGTCTCAGTTTCATGGATGTTGCAGAAGACATGAGACTCCTTAGGTCAGAAATAAAGGGCACTACTATAGCACAGCAGGCAACCTGAGCTTCACATTTTCGATGCTTCCCCTTGCTTCTCCAGTCTCAGGGCAGCTCATGTGGTTCTGCACATACCATGGATTTGTTCCACAGCTGAGGAACCCTGAGCTTAGGAATCCCCAGTCTTAAAGGGGCTACTAGTAAACCTGCTCAACTTTGCCTCTGGAGAGGACATCTTTACTCTGGACAGCAAACAAGTCTGCCTTCTGCCCCAGAGAGACACACTATCTGTATCTTCCAGGGCTGTCTGCTCTACAAATATTCTTGAATTGATAGTCTGGAATGAGATAATAAAAGACATGAAGAAATACGAAATGCAGGAAGCGCCTAAAGAATTGTCTCAGGACAATGATAATTTTGTGACATAAACAATTTTTTTTAAATTATTACTCAATATTATTATGGATGGAGAAAGACAGTTACGCCCAATTA